TAAAAACATAAAAATTTGGATAATATTTGAAATTATTTATATTTTGTTCATATCTATTTAAGTAAAATATCAAACGGGCCAAAATAAAAAAGTAAAAATATCAATTTAATAGACAAATACTTTAAAATAAGGCAATAAATGTAACAGCACCATGCCTCAATCTTATGATATTTCCATGATAAATTTTAGACCCAGTCCCGACAGGATTATATTATATATATTTCAATTAAATTTTTTGTTACACTAGGTGGTGGAAATCTCAATATTACTAATAAATTAACCAATAATTGTAAAGAATACTTTCGTATATTATATGAATACAATAATTTTCCACTCAAATATGTGCCGATAAGATGAGAGAGATATATACGTGTAATGGAAGAAATATCGGATTAAGATGTTAATTACGACAATTTGCATGATTGATTGTATAATTTATATGTTAATAGAATATATATATGTATGTATGTACATACATATATGATAATGACATTTTCATTGTGATTTTGGAGGATTTGGTACGTTGCATTACTGTCATTTTCTCAATCTTCTAAAGTTTTCTCATTGATGGAGGAAAGCATAGCATAATACTGCTATATTTATTCTAATTAATTTTATTTTAATTGAGATAAATTACTAAAGCTCATATTATAGAACACTGTAGAAGCTTCTAGATTAATTGCGAGCCATCAACGAGATCATCTTAATGGCAAAACTCGAACTTATATATTTTTTTAATACACAAATTCCAAAATTTCTACACACAATCAATGCGATCTTTATCATTTTCATCCTTAAATTTGATACTTTGAAATATATTTCACATCTTCCCATGAATTTCGCATAGAGTTCATGGGAAGAGTGCAAATATAATATAAAATTTTAAAAATAATAACGGATTATTTGTTTTGGTCAATCATTATACCCGTGAATATATATACTAAACATTTTTATTTTTCCTCTTTTTTATTCTCTTTTATTTTTCCTATATTTTTCTCATATCCCAAATAATAATTCATCTTATTTTTAATATAAAATAATTTCACTACATAATTTCTTGATTTGAATTTTGTTCAATATCTTTCTATAAAATAACTGGATAATCCACATTTTTTCATGAACCATTGAAGGTTTTCCACGTTTTAAAGTAAAAACTTAAATAATTTTATTTTTAACAAATATGCATATACCACCTGGACGATTTTTAACAAACATGCATATAACATCCCAAATAATAATTCTCTTATTTTTAATATAAAATAATTTCACTACATAATTTCTTGATTTGAGTTTTTGTTCAATATCTATATATAACACAATTGAATAATCCACATTTTTTTCATGAACCATTGAAGGATTTTCCTCGTTTTAAAATAAAAACTTAAATAATTTTAGTTTTAACAAATATGCATATAACACCCGGACGAAACAAGAAAAAGCCAAACCTAAAAATTAGGAATGGATATCCAATCTCGAATTAAAAATTCAATATATTAAGTAATTTCATGAAAATTTTATGTAATTTATACACAATAATTATCACTTTACAGCCTTAAAGGCAAACTTTTATCTCTTGGAAGAGAATGCAATTAATTAAGTAATAGATTAAAAACTAATTAGGGAGTGATCAATTGGACTTTGGCCCTTGTTAATTTTCGTTTTGTAATTTTCTAAGAGTGCTAAATTCCTCATCTTTTATGAACATTTCTCGTGTACGATTGATTGGTCACACACACATGTATATATGTATATGTATCTATATATATATATATATATAAATGCACCTAAAAGTAGATAACTAAAAGACAAAAGTCTTTGTTTGCTTTGACTTTGCATACAAAGTACAAACTCTTAAAGCTCAACATTTTCAAACTTCTATTTAACTTGTGATTGTTCTCTTCTAACTCCTCTCTTGAAATTGAGAACTAAATTAAAAGCACGATTATAAAATGTAAATAATCTATTGGTAAAAGTTATAAAGAAGTGATTTATTGTCATGTTCAATAATTTATAATATGAAGTATTAATAACTATAGGTACTTATAATAAAATCTCATTCACCAATCATATTTACGTAATGGTGGCATACTAATTGTTATGTGAAAACCAAAAGGAATAGTCAAATGTCAAAAGGAAAATGCAAAGATGAACTCTTTCTCAACGTCCGTGTGTGTGTGAATATATATATATGTGTATATATATATAATGTTGAACATGTTAGTTGATAACTCCGGTCTGGGACCGACTTCTTCTTTCTTTCTTTTTCGCACATGTCTCGATTTGAATGGCTTTTGCCGTGATCTGTTTTCCGCTCCTTACTCGTTTCGAATCCTGATAACATAATTTGAGGAATTATACGCTTTATCAATTAAGTTTCATTGATCAAACGTAATTAATTTCGGTTTATATATATCTTATCTTTTTACCACAATTCAGAGTATTACAATATTCTCATCTCATTGCATAAAAAAGCCAATAATATTTGTCATGAAGTTATGGTGGCATTTTGCTTTGAGGAGGGCATTATTAAAATGATTGATTATATAATTGGGTTATAGCAAAAATTTAAGAAGAATAGGTACATTTATAGGCAGTCATATCAAGGGGAATAATGTTTGGCAACCTACTAAACAATTCAAGAACTTGATTAATTAATTAGTCTCATAAGTTATAAAAAGTTAAAAAAAAAATAGACCTATAATTGTTCAAAATTTTCACTTTTGATTCGAAAAATCTTGACTTTGGGGTTTAGAGTTGTTCTGCCAACCTTAACAACCATGTTCAATTTCATTATCATTCTAAAAAGCGTATTAGATTATTTAATTATGTTGGGTTTTGGATACTTTCTTTATAAAAAGTATGTGAGTAAGAATAATTTAAACAAAACTGGGAAAAAAAACTTGAAACCATGGATTGAAACTAGTAAGTTCCTCATTTACATATGACAATAAATAGTTTAAACTAGAATATTAGGGATATTAAACATCACAAGCAGACATGGCATGAAATGGAGACATGTGTGACATGAGGACGTGCATGGCATGGGTTTGTATAGGAAATCAATCAAGCTACATCCATGATTATAAAGATTACATTCTGGTCCATACGCAACATATATGCTTATTTCCTTTCTTATTCTTAATTGCCTCTTATTTCCTTTTCTTCTCATTTGAGCCGTTTGTATATTTCCTTCTTTGTATTTACACGTTTTGTGTACATATTTACAACATTCTGATGTGTGTTTTAATAACAAGAAATAAAATAATATATACCCTCCTTAAATCACATTTCCAAGTTGAATATTTTTAATTAAAGATAAACTTGAAAACTTTACTAAAATTACCACCTAAGAAACCACAACCGATTGTCACCGCCGAGGAAAAAGCAAAATGGCATAAGATGAACAACTTGCCTTGGTTCTTTTGCAAGGTTCCCTCGATCAAAATGTGCTCCAATCTTTTATTGGCATGGAGTCGGCGAAAGCTTTATGGGATGCACTCAAAGAAGTTTACGGTAACTTATCAAATATAAACCGTATTTATGAAATTAAGAAAAAATTGTCCAACTTGCAGCAACAAGGTCAGCCATTTAATCAAATCCAAGGCGTCTACACGGCTCTCTGGTCCGAACTTGAGGAGATTCGACCAGCTTCTGTAGATCTTAAAGTTGCGATTGAACAGGCGGAAGAAGACAAGGTCTTCGACCTCCTTCTTACTCTTGATGCGTCATTCAATGACCTAGTCTATCATATCCTCCGTCAGTCCAAACTTCCATCTTTTATCGAGATATGTATGATGATCAAACGTGAGGAGGGTGGAAGGAATTTATTTGCAGGACCACTTGAGATGGCACATTATTCCAAGAAGGCTCTGCCTCTTCTCCCGTCTCCAAAGGAGAAATGTCCGATGTGCGGCCACTGCAAGAAGGCTAGACACACAAAAGATCGGTGTTGGATCCTTAATCCACACCTCAAGCCATCTCGATATCGCGAGAATCCCCCGACCAAAGGTGTCGCGATGAACGCAGACAACACTATCTCCTTTACACAAGAGGAATTTAAGCAATTTGTCCTCTCCATGAAGGACAAAGATAGCGGTAATTTTTCTGCTCTTTCTACTCCACATATTGTAATTGATTCCAGAGCAATCACTCACATGTTTAATGATAAGACCTTATTCTATGCATTTGAACAAACATGTGGTATGGTAACGGTTGCTAACGGTAAGTTTGTGCCTATTAAAGGCCACGGTATGGTTCGTTTATTTGGTAAGGATTTCTCGGCTTTATATGTTCCCGACTTTAGTATAAATTTGCTATCTATCTCTAAACTCGTTCATGACACTTCTTGTCGTGTTACTTTTGATTCTAATGGCGTCCTCTTTCAGGATATTAAGTCCGACGTCACGCTTGGCAAGGGGATCAAGCATGGCAACCTATACTATCTCGAAGATTTTCATAGTTCCGTTCATTCTATTTTTCATGTTTTGCACTCTTTATGGCATGCTAGGTTAGAGATCCGCATAATAAAGTACTCTGATTACTTGTTCCAAACACCAAGGATGTTATGGACCATAATTTTTGTGAAGCTTGTGTGCTTGGTAAACATTGTAGATCGGTATTTCCTATTTCAAAGACAATTTATGATAATGCATTTGATTTGGTTCATTCCGATGTGTGGACATCACCTTGTTTTTCATGAGATCATTATAAATATTTCGTCACGTTTATAGATGAAAAAACGAAATACACATGGCTATATTTTTTGAAGCACAAGAGCGACATGTTTGATACGTTCAAAGTGTTCCATGCTTTTATTACTAATCAAATTGTCAGAAACATCAAGTGTCTTCGCACGGATAATGACGGTGAGTACACGAGTCATGCGTTTCGGTCCTTCCTCAACCACCACGGCATTGTTCATCAATGCTCCTGCCCGAACACACCACAACAAAATGGTGTTGCCGAGCAGAAAAACCGACATCTAATGGAGGTTGCTAGAACTCTACTCTATCATCGTCATGTGCCCAAAATCTATTGGAGTGATGCGGTTAAGATGACGTGTTATCTACTCAACCGACTCCCCATTCAAATTCTTCGTCATCAATCGCCTTTTGAGGTATTCTATTCTCGTAATGACTCTCTTGATCATCTCCGCGTTTTTGGTTGCGTTTGATTTGTTCATGTTGATGAAGGACAACGAAACAAACTCCAACCGAAGAGCATCCGATGTATCTTCTTGGGCTATCCACCGGACCAAAAAGGATACACGTGTTATCACCCCGACTCCAAGAGAATATACACTTCAAGGGATGTCAAGTTCGAAGAAACTCTTGGCTACTTTGATGCCAAAAACTGGAAGGACCTGGACAATCTCGTACTGCAAGGAACATACTTCAACCCTTATCCCAACCAACTCTTATCAACGTCTTGGGGGTCAACAAAGTTCGCCTGTTCCGTGTGCTTCACGTCTCGACTTCCACGACGTTCCGTCTCCGTCACCATCGTCATCACCGCAAGCTCCGATTAATGACCACCCGATAAATGGTGATTCCCCACAGGTTTCTCTTGACCTTGATATATTCCCTCCTGTTTCTTGGTCTTCTAACCCTGCAGGAATCCCTTCGTCGTCGGACGTGCATGACCCAACCTCTTTTCTTCCCGATGGAGATCTGAACACTCAAAGTCAAAGGAAACAACTAACACTTCCCACGTTAGCTATGGATCAGCAACACCAAAGTCAAAGTCAAAGTCAAAGGGACCATTTGTCCCCTGTGTTTGAAGTTGTTGATGCCAGCATAAACCCCAGTGACCAATCATCTCCACCTCCATTACGCCGAGGGTCCCTGATCGCAAACCAACTGGAAAATTTTGGCCTATGCCAAAAGTCATCTCGCCAATGTGGTTCATCCGATTAACTCCTTTGCTTCTTTATCCGATTTTCCATCTCATGCACAATCCTTCTTGAGTCTTATAACACAGGAAATTGAGCCCAAAATTACGAGCAAGCCAAACTGTCCCCGATGTGAGTTCAAGCCATGCAAGAGGAGATTGCAGCTCTCGAACGCAATAATACTTGGCAGCTCATCGCTCTCCCTCCCGACAAGAAAGCCATCGGCTCGAAATGGGTTTACAAAATAAAATATCAAAGCAACGGTGAGGTGGAGTAGTACAAAGCACGTTTGGTTGCAAAGGGTTTCACCCAAACTTACGGGGAAGATTACACTGACACATTTGCTCCCATTGCTAAAATTCCCTCTTTTCGTGTTATCCTTTCACTTGCGGCTAATCTTTGTTGGTCATTATAGCAGCTTGATGTCAAGAATGTTTTTCTTCAAGGTGATCTTGAAGAGGAGATCTATATGAAACCACCACCGGGGTACACTAACGACGATCGCGTTTGTCGGCTCATCAAAGCCATTTACGGGTTGAAACAATCTCCCCGTGCGTCGTATCAAAAATTACATGATGCGTTGCTCACCACCGGGTTCTTCCATAGCCATTCCGATCATTCTTTGTTCATTCGTTCAACCAACACGGGTATCGTTCTTTTAGTATACAATATAATTCTTACGGGTAGTGATACGAGTGGTATTGAGGATATAAAACTTTATTTAAAAACAGTTTTTGATATTAAAGATCTTGGCCCGCTACAATATTTTCTTGGGATAGAAGTAACTCGGGACACAAATGATATTTTTCTTTCACAACGCAAATATATTCTTGACCTTCTTACCGAGACAGGAAAACTTGGAACTAAACTCGTTCGAACACCGCTTGAGGAGCATTTCAAAGATCAACGCGAGGGGGAATGTCTTGAGCATGCAGAGCAGTATCGTCGCGTTGTCGGTAAGCTCATCTACCTCACAATTACACGACCTCACTTAAGTTTCATTGTGCATCAGGTTAGCCAATGGATACATGCACCAACCACATCTCACTGGCAAATAGTGGATCGAATATTGAAGTATTTGAAAGGGACACCGAACAAAGGTCTATGGATGAGGAACAACAATCATACGGAGATCATTGGATATTGCGATGCGGATTGGGCAGGCGATATGATGGATCTAAAGTCTACGACCGGATATTGCACATTCATCGGAGGCAATCTTGTTACGTGGAAAAGCAAAAAACAAACCATGGTAGCAAGGTCGAGTGCGGAAGCCGAATACCGAGCCAGGGCAAACACCACAAGCGAGATCATATGGTTAAAGCAACTCTTGAAGGACTTTGGAATCGACTCAACGCAACCGGTTCCACTCCATTGTGATAACCAAGCAGCTCTACATGTTGCAGCTAACTCCATATTTCATGAGAGGATGAAGCACATTGAAGTCGACTGCCACTTTATTTATAGAGAAAATCACAAACGGGACAATATCTCCGATGTACACACGAAGTCAAGACCAACTTGCCGACATCTTCACCAAGGCGACAAGCTCGTTTGTTCTTAACAAAATTCTCTTCAAGATTGGTCTTACCGAATATCGCCGACCAATCTTGAGGGGGAATATTGGAGAATATCAAACTGAGTCACCAAAAAGCCGAGATGATCCATCGACAGAGAGACGAAGTCAAGATGAAGAACATGTTTTCTTCAGCAACACTCAACTGGACAAAACCGAAAGCAAACAGAAGGTTTGCTGAAAGATCCCATCCATCAGAAAAATATTTTCAAGATTAATTCTGCGGCATGATTGAATCTCTGTATATGGTAAACTACCTTTGATTGTATTATATTAATATTCCCTAATGTACTTTCCTTTTCTTTTTGTTTGGAAATGTCTATAATATGTAAACAATCACTTGTGAATAATATCAAGAGAAGTGAAATATCTTTTCCAGAATTTTCTACCGAACACAGTTCTTGTTCTTCTCCTTCTATGACTTCTCTTCTCTGATTTAGTTTTCTGATAAATTCTTTAAGGAGCACGTTTTAATGATTAAGAAGTGAAAGTCTACCATTTTACCATGAGCATGCACACAAAAAATTCTGTAGGTCAGAACTGTTGTAAAGACATAAAATGACAGAAAACACAATGGTAGTTTCATAATTTTGGCAAATTATTGATTTTGATTTGTAATTTAATCAATTACGCACCCAGACACTAATCCCGAATGAGTATTATCTTGTTTCTATAGCACTCGATCAAAATTATAACGTCCACAGATGTTACAGACGTTAAAACTGTTATCATCGATCAACACGAGACCTTTAAGTATCCTTATACACTTCATGGGAGTATTTTCCAAGAGAAAACCTATTTTAATACTACTTCAAAGTGAACACACTTAATTTTGGACTTCTCTTTAAATAGATACTTCATATTAGTATCATTACAAAAAACAGGTCAATTCCAACAGAAATTTTCAATGAATTTCTCCATTAAGAATATTCCACTGCAATTTCAACGGACTGATCGTCAAAAAATTTACAATTCTGATGCTCCGTAAATTTCATATCTAAAATCTAACTGTAGAAACCCGTATGAGCCAAAAATTGCTCGAGGAACCTCGAACTAGACTTAGATCAAACCAGAACCGAGTTATGGCCCGAACGAAGCAAAGAAGAGGAGAAATAAGCGTGGACTGATCTGGACCACCAACACAGTCAGGGTGGAATGCCATTCACGAGAAAACGAGAAACGGAGAAAAACGGAACAGACCGGACAGTCTGACCCGACGGACCGAACGATCCGGAATTTCTATGGGCAGACCGAATGGTCTGAACAGCAAACCGAACGGTTTGACGGGGCAACATCCAGTTTCACGCGCTGCCTCTCCCCTGCAGAGTCACCACCACAATTTCTCGTTCCTCTGGTGTGTGACACCTCCCGCTTAGCTCAGTCACCATCCACTTTTCCTTGCACGAACTCCACTCCTCTTTTCTCCCACACTTTTCTCACTCTCATAAACCACTCTTACACTCATTTTAGAACAAGAAACCCAAAATCGAAGCTTATTTCATGTAGAAAACGACTGGAAAACCAATGAATTGACTCTAGAAAACCTCAGAAACCAACTCTAAAGCTCAAAAACAACATAGGTGAGTGTTTTTGGATTAAATCCAAAAATCCTATTCAAATTGAAAATGGAGATTTGTGTGTTTTTGAGTGCGATTCATGCGTGTTCGACCTTGGATTAATGTTCTGATGTGCTATGGAATGTTTTGAGCTATTGGTTGCGTGATTTAGTGCAAGAATTCGAACTGCAACTTCCAAGGCACCCCCGGTCTGGACAGTGCAGCTCAGGTTCGGGTTGGACTAGGGTTCGTAAAATTTTGCGATGGCCAGACGAAGAAGACGTCAGCCAGATCGACCGGTCCGACTCTCCAGACCGAGCGGTCTGAGATGGTTCGACCTGGGGTCCGAACGAAAACTCGAACTAGACAAAAACCCGAGGCAAACCAATCAGTTTATTCTTCCAGACCAAACGATCTGACCCTATCTGAGGGCAGATCGATCAGACTGGTTGACCGGATCAGACGGATGACCCCGATTTATCTTTTTTGAACTACGGTTCGGTCCCGATCGGGAACGAGACGGTCCAAATCTCTGCTGA